GACAGAAACAATACTGTACTACATCGATGTTTCCTGTCGGCTCAATTTTTGAGTTTACTTTGCTGTTCCGATTCACATGAACGGCGCTACATCAGAAATGGATATTATATAATAGATGCTTTTTTGAACATATTAGCAATTAAAAAATATTAAAAAATGATTGTAATATTATTCTAACTAAGTGTACGTGAGAAATCACGGCATGATTATATAAAGCTACTTAGAAGAAGTTAAGTTGGTCAACTTGGTTCTATAGTAATGGTCATGACCTCTGGTAGATATAGTCTTACCTTAATTAAGTGTTTACAGATATATGGGCACTAATAAAAGTATTCTAGAATGAGCTAAGTATTGCACGAGCAGTCTAGAGCATTAGTCAATCGCCTCTGTCTAATGACCAAGACTGACGAGTTTGTGAATATGAGATCCGTACACCGGCCGGTACGAGTGTTATGGGGCAAGCGAAATGTGAGACGTGCGGATTCATCTGCAAAGCTTTTATTTAAAGGCGTGGTCATAAAACAGGCAAGGTTCTGACAATGGCAAACAGGTATATTGAGGGAAAGACAAAAGAGTAATCCAAAATGGGCATGAGTCAGTCGACAGCGAACGTTATCCAGAGGGCTTGACAAGCAATAGTCCAGGCGAGGTGCAAACACAGTCAGAATCAGAAAGGCAAAGGGTTAATCCAAGATAAACAGGCAAGAATCGGGTAACACAGGAAAGCAGGCAAGACAAGACTATGACTAGGAACTAAGGACTAGGACAGAAAACTGGCTCCGTAATGTGCTACCACTAGGAGAGTGATATACGCAAACAATACTCTGCGATTAGAGGATGATTTGAGTGGTTGTTATATAGTGTGTGTGTGATTGGCTGCAGGTGAGTCCAGTCAGTGCAATGGAGCATGGGAAATGTAGTCCAGGGTGATGTGCAACAGTTTGTGTGGTGTGAGAGTCAATGTAATCAGAAGGTGGCCTCTGGTGGCGAGTAGATGAAAGATCATGCACAGGATTCATAACAGAGCCCCCCCACCAAAGAGTGGCTTCCAGACGCTCCAACCACAGTACAATCCAGGAGGGCAGTGGAGCGTAGGCGGAAACAGGGGGAGGGATGGAGGGCCAGGTCCATGTGGAAGTGTTAGACCTTGGGATTGAGGCAGGACCGGCAGAGCAGGGAACCAGAATGGAGCTGGCAGTACTAGTGGAGTTGAGGACCACCAGAGCAGAGCAGACAGGTCTGAAGATCCCCACGGCAGAGTAGAAGTCCACCATGGTGGAGCAGACAGAGCAGGAGCCCACCAGGGTGGAACAGACGGAGCAGAAGACCACCACGGCAGAGCAGACGGAGCAGCAGACCACCAGACCGGAGTAGACAGAGCAGAAGATCACCACGGCGGAGCAGACGGAGCAGCAGACCACCAGACAGGAGCAGATGGAGCAGAAGACCAGCAGAGCGTAGCGGAAGACCACCACGGTGGACCAGACGGATCAGGAACCCATGGCAGAGACTGGTACCTGGGAAAAACTGAGACACAAGAAACAGACATTCACGGTCTCAAGGACCGAGGCGGGGGCACAGGAAGTTCATCCCTCATCTCACTAGTGACCACTGAACGGGCAGACAGTTCATAAACCAGCACACTGACTGAAACTGGACAGGCATACATTTCCAAATCTGGCTCATTGACTGAAACTGGACAGGAAGACAGTTCATAAACAGGATCACTGACTGAAATTGGACAGGCAGACAGTTCACAAATGGTCTCACAGACTGACACTGGACAGTCAGACAGCTCATAAACGGGCTCACAGACTAGGACTCGCAAGACAGACCGTTCAGACACATTTGGGGAAACAGAACAAGCAGACAGTTAATGAATGGTCTCTATGGCAGTGACAGGGTTAACGGGACAAACATGGAGTGCATTTATAGTTTCTGGGCTCATGACAGGCAGGGTTAAGGGTTCAAAGGTGGGTTTTTGAGCTGTGACAGACAGGGCTGAAAGTTCTGTGTTGGTTTGCTTGAGAGTGGCTGGACAGACAGCCAGTTCAATATTGGGTACATTGGCAAAGGCTGATTGGGTTGACAGTTCACAATTAGATTCAAGAGCTGATTTAAAACAGACAGACAGTTCAACATCAGACTCATGGACTGAAACAGGACATACAGATAATTCAGAATTAGGTTCATAGACTGAGACTGGTAAGACAGATGGTTCAGAATTAGACACACTTGGGACCAGTGGACCGGCAGACAGACCAAAGCCAGGTGCATTGACTGAAATTGGACTGGTAGACATTTCAGTGAGTGACACTAAACAGGCAGACAATTCACAGTCAGACTCAGTTGAAACAGGACAGACAAATAGTTCAAAAGGAAACGTCATAGTTGAACTGCATGACAGGTTTAGAACAAGATGAGAGTTCCGAGATGTCCTCCTCGGCCGGTTCAGAGCAGGAGAAAAGTTCATAAGCGGCCTCCGTAGCCGTGACATGACAAACAGGGAGTTCACAGACGGCCTCCATAGCCATGACAGGACAGACAGGGAGTTCATAGACGGCCTCCATAGCCGTGACAAGACAAGCAGAGAGATCACAGACAGCCTCCATAGCCGTGACAGGACAGGCAGAGGGATCACAGACGGCCTCCATAGCCGTGACATGACAGGCAGAGGGATAACAGATGGCCTCCATAGCCGTAACAGGCCAGGCAGAGGGATCACAGACAGCCTCCATAGCCGTGACAGGACAGGACAAGAGTTCATAAGTGGATACCACTGACACCTCTGGAGGTTCTGCAGCGGATGCCGCCACCACTGGAGGTTCTACAGCCGTACCATCAGGAAACAGGGAAAGTTCATTAGTGTTCTTATTAACAGGACAGGTACAAAGTTCAGCAATGGTTCCTTCGACCGTGACATTACCGGCTGAATGTGCATTGCTGGGCGCCACCACCATACAAGGAGCTGAAGTGAGCGCCTCCGCCTCGGGAGGTTTGGCGGCCTCAGCTGCCACCTCTGGAGGATCTGGAGCGAGCACCGCCATCTCTGGAGATTCTGCAGCATCAGCCGCCACCTCTGGAGACGCCATAGTGGACGCCGCCACCTCAGGAGGTTCTGTGGTGGTGTTTGCAGCCCAAACACACAAAAAAGCGATCCCCATCATGGGAAGCGTTTCAGACAGGGGAATCAGTTCAGGAACAGGTGGGCTAGAGTGAGTGGGTTTGGGGATACCAGCTGCGCGTGCAGACACCAGTGGTGCATTCCTCACACTGGATACCAGACTGGGATACTGAATGGCTGACCTTGATAATCTGGGTGTGACGTGACTCTGGATGATCAGCCGTGATGTGACGTGACTCTGGAAGATCAGCTGAGACGTGACGAGACTCTGGACGAACAGCTGATACGTGGCGAGACTCTAGAAGATCAGCTGAGACGTGACGTGGCTCTGGGAGATCAGCTGAGATGTGACGAGGCTCTGGCAGATCAGCTGAGACATAACAAGGCTCTGGCAGATCAGCTGAGACGTGACGAGACTCATGAAGATCAGTTGAGACGTGACTGGACTCATGACGAGCAGCTGTGACTTGACTTGACTCATGAAGATCAGCTGTGACTTGACTTGACCCATGACGTTCAACTGTGACTTGACTTGACACATGAAGATCAACTGTGACTTGACTAGACTCAGGAAGATCAACTGTGACTTGACTTGACTCATTATTGGCAGTTGTGACATAACGGGGCGCTGTTGTATCCACCATTTTGCAATTAGGCTCCGCTGTCGCCGCCATTTTGTGAGCGTGTTCTAGTGCGGCTGCCATTACACGAGTGAGTGCAGGGTCGCGTTCCTCCACGATACCCACAGTGAACGCTGAACCAACAGACAACAGAGCATAATCCATAAAATCACTTAGAGAAGACCGGGGACCCTCACGGATTAATCGTGTCTTTAAAGGTTCATTGATACCCTCACGAAAAAAGTCTATGAGCATGCAGTCTGGCAGATCAGAAAAATATGCGAGATCTAAATACTCTTGTACATAATCCTCGAGCGCTCGCAAGCCCTGCTCGAGGGTTAATAACAGTCTTGCAGTGTCCATACCTGGCCAATGTCCACATGAAAATCTGCTGGATCCTTGTGTGGCCAAGTATTCTGTTATGGGGCAAGCAAGACGTGAGACGTGCGGATCCATCTGCAAAGCTTTTATTTAAAGGCAAGAGGTCAGAAACACAGGCAGGGTCGAACAGTGGCAAACAGGTATATGGCGGGCAAGACACAAGGCTGCAGGTGAGTCCAATCAGTGCAATGGAGCATGGGAAATGTAGTCCAGGGTGATGTGCAACAGTTTGTGTGGTGTGAGAGTCAATGTAATCAGAAAGCGGCCTCTGGTGGCAAGCAGATGAAAGATCACGGACAGGATTCATGACAACACGTCTCAAAGTGTTATAGGAATAAGATTAATGAGATTCAGTACGATTAAAGAGCGAAATAGAATAATCAAATGTCAGAATAATAACAATAATAATAATTAGAGATGAACAAACATCAGATTGGCATTTCAGCCCTAATTTTGAGTTTGTAATAAAATGGAGTCAGATTAGATAATAAAATTGAGTCAGATTAGAGTTTAACTTAAATTAAATTAAGCCAGCAGCCATGTCACCCTGTAGCCCAAGACTGGTTGCCCACTGAAGCTAAGCAGGGCTGAGCCTGGTCAGTACCTGGATGGGAGACCTCCTGAGAAAACTAGGTTGCTGCTGGAAGAGATGTTAGTGAGGCCAGCAGGGGGTACTCACCCTGCAGTCTGTGTGGGTCCTAACGCCCCAGTATAGTGACGGGGACACTATACTGTAAAAAGCACCGTCCTTCGGATGAGAAGTAGGGGTATAACCCCGGCATCCTGGCCAAATTTGCCCATTGGCCTCTGACCATCATGGCCTCCTAATCATCCCCATACACTGATTGGCTTCATCACTCTGTCTCCTCTCCACCAATAAGCTGGTGTGTGGTGGGCGTTCTGGCGCACTATGGCTGCCGTCGCATCATCCAGGTGGATGCTGCACACTGGTGTGGTTGAGGAGATTCCCCCGCTTTCATGTAAAGCGCTTTGAGTACCCAGAAAAGCGCTATATAAATGTAACTAATTATTATTATAATTATATAAATAACTTTGCGCGCTGAAAAGACCAAACATGCAAGAAACCTTCAGCCACCAATGGATACCTTCCTTGGGCCAATTGTGTGGACCTTACAGCTATAGACAAACTGAAAATTTTCAAGTATTAAAATAAAAATAAATATTATTGCCAACAGTGTTGGGCAAGTTACTTCCAAAATGTAATACATTATATATTACTAGTTACTGTCTTCTGAAAGTAATTAGTTACATTACAATATTACTGTCTCTGAATTGTAATGCGTTACACTACTTTTGAGTTACTTTCACCAACATATCCACAGAAGTATTATAAAATGCCAAAATGTAGTTTATTGCTGCTCATTCTACAGTATAACAATGAAAACATGGATTCTAGGAGCACAATTATAGCTGAAATATATTTAGACTTTTTCTAAGTATAAGTCAAGTATACTTAAATGTAATTTTATGTATATTTCTGAGAAGTACATAAAGCCCATTTCTGAGAAGTACATAAAAAGTAGACTAAAAGTACACTTTCCTATTTTTAGTTTAAAAGAAGTATACTAATAGCACACTTGAATAAACTTCTTTTTCGTAAGGGATGTCTGAAGTCTCACACTAACACCCCCTCTCCCAAAATGAACGTGTGGATTGACTTTAATTTCTTATCATGCACTTTTTGCTGTTGAAGCTTGTTCTTGGATACAACATCCAACATGTTAATAATCAGTTAGATTCCCTAGTGAAAAAAAAAGTTCTGTTTATTTTTTATAAGTATATTTATTTGCACTTTACTTTTTAACTGTGTGCTGAAAATGATCATTGTAACAATTTATTGAAAGCATACTTTCAGAGTACTTTATTAAATAATCCGAAGTTGTAGTATACTCTGCATTAATATTATATCATTGCATTATTATAACATATTATAACATTATAACATTCTCCATAAATTGTATGGAGAAATAAAGCTGAAAACAACAATTGGCATTGATATCTGTATAAAGCTGCAGAAGTAGTTCCCCAGGAATCAGTTTTTAGTCTCTTTCAATATTGTTTGGAAGTGGAATGACATACAGTTTGTCTTAAGACCTAATAATTACACACACTTGAGTGATTGAGGATGGGCAGCAAATACATTATGAGACACTATATAAATGTTGAGGATATATTTAGGTGCAACGGAATTATTAGATAAACCTTGATTTAATCTAGATTAAAGTTTAATCATTGTTGGTGCAACCCACCCTTATAGTTATACTTTAGTATAATTTAATTACAACTAAAATACACTTAGTACAAAAATAGTTGTTCCAAAATAGCACACTTCAAGTTAACTAATCATTAACACACTTGAAGTATACTGACAATTAGTCTGGCTGCAAGTATACTTAGTATACTTTTTTTTCACTAGGGATCCCAAGCTCTGGATCCCAGGCACTATTCTGCTGCATTGAGGACCTCTGACTTACTGTGTGCAAGTGGG